TGAAAATTTTCAACAAAAACAGTTCTCATTTTCTAATTCTCGTGCATTTAAACCGCTAAATCAAATGGTGAAAAAAAAGAAATGTTTAACAAATTAGAAAAAGAAAAAATATATGCGCATGTGTTCCAAGCGAATTGAGCATGATATACGTGCTCCGGTATGGTGAATGCTGGCTCAAGCGCGCGCGCGTTCTGTATAAAGTCAAAAACAGAAGAAAAAAAAAACAACGAACGAACAAACAAAGGCACACCAACAGCAGCAACAGCAAGTCTATGACGATGACGTCGACGTAGTACTCACAACGAGAGAGAGAGAGAGAGAAAGAACCAACAATCAGCTCATCTGTTGAATCAAAAGTAGGTCAACGTGCTTAACACATATACACACTTATTCATTCGATCATCGTTACAAATCACGCACTCAAAGTCAATAGAACGTAAAGTGAGAACAAGTCGGCGAAAGAAGACGGCGTGCGCAAGAGATCGAACGCTCGCGCACAAAGAATGAAAAGCCAAAACAAAACACGGAACAAGCGAAGCTTAGAGAAGAATGAATAAATGTAGGAGAAGAAGTACAGCAGAGAGAGAGAGAGAGAGAAAAAAGCTAAGCACTAAACCGACAGACGCTCTGTGAATCAAGAATTGAGTTCAACTCAATGGTTGGCACGAGAACACGAGAGAGTTTGTGCGCAACATGAGACTTTTTCCAAAGAAAAGAACATATCTAATGTCCGCATTACACACATGCATGCTTCGCAGAGTAGCGTGAATTTCAACAATGATTTAAAAGGCATTTTCAGTACTCATTCCACATTGTGTGTGTGTGCGAGCGCGTTGAAACACAGCGAGAGAACAAAAGGAATGTGGCTTTCTTGTTGAAATGCCATAATAATATAAATACAAAAGAACAGATTTTACGACATTTTCATTATCAATCGATTGACGAAGCGTTCTGATTTCTTTCATTGCATTCAAACATTTAAATTGGTCAAACGACACATCATCATCATCAATGGGAATGAAATTTCCTGTCGTGTGCGAACGAACGTGGTGATTTAATGAAACAAAAACTGATTTTCCAAATCCGATATGTGTTTTCTAAGCGGATCACAGGAGCTTGACTCACACAAACCAGCTTTGGGAGAGAAATAAAAAAAATGAATAAGTCTATTTGGATTCTTAGTTCAAATGAAAGGCGAAAGCCAAATCAATGGCAACTATCTGAAACTTTCTCGATTTCAATACAGCACCAATCCTGTGGAACAATCTGACGATATCAAAAAGAATTGTACACGATTTGTGCAAAACGTGTACCTTCGAATTCCGAAAAAAAACAACAACCAGCAACAACGGACAAGTACTTGAATTTTGTCTTCGAAGAGTGCACACGCGTGTGCACATTAAACGATAAAAAATGAAAACAAACCTGTTTTGCGTTCGCCTCGCGCTCCCGTATCATCCACATGAAATTGGTGTTTCCTTTCTTTTTCCATAACAAATAATTTTCTCTCTGTGTCGCCGTCGTCGTCGTCGTCGTTGATTTTTCGTCTTTGTTTCACTTCTTTGCGCATTCATATTTCTCGCTCTGGTCGTGTCTCATCTGTGTGCGCGCCTTTTCATTAGCATGCATTCACCACGGTGTGTTCTCAAGATAAGACGATCTGCATCCGTGACGATTCACGATTCTGTCTGTGTATCCAACTGGAAATTACTGGTTTTTGGCTGTGCGGACGGCTTATTATTGCTCTTGCCGCTGTTGCTGTCGCTGTTACTGTTTTGCGGTTCTGAAACAAGGTGAAATGGCAAGCGCGCAAAGATCAAAACCGTTTTCTATGTGCTACGGCTGCTGCCGTTGCTCTGGCAAACGGTGAAAAAGAAAGCGTGAGTTGTCGGCGAGGGGAAAAGCGTACATTATCACAGGAAACAAAGAATATAAATAACAGGCAGTGGGCTGCCATCGAAATACTCACAGAAATTCTTTGGCGTACACACAAACACACACACACACGTGTTGCCATAGACGTTTCACGTTCAGACCTTCGCAACTTTTTCTTTTCGTCAGCATCGATTTTTTTTCTGCACTTTTCACTCCGCCATTTCGTTCTCTTCGGAAGACTGTGCATTTATCTCCATTATGTCGTGTGAGCTGCATAGCATTTGCTTTCAGTTGATCTTTTTAGCTCTCGGTTTTTATTTTCGGGCTCGAATGTGAAATGCTCATAGATCCGTTTGCAAAACGCCATTTGCATATTCAAACAAATTTTCGTTTTCTTCTTCGTCTCACTGTCTTCAGCAAACGCCACGGAATCGCAACCAAACCAAACCAAACCAAATAGAATCGCTTTCGAATCTGAAACATTTTAACTCGTTGATCATAATCAATATCTCTATTATAATTCATTATTCTCGTTTATGACACCGCGACGGCTATAAACCAAAGCCTACGTGAGTCGTTTGCAAACGAAATGAATCGCTTTGAATCCGCTCTCGAAAGGCAAGTTTTCAGTGGACATAGCAGCTTCGTTTAATTTCCAATGAATTTTTATGTCAGTTTCTGAACACCTAAATTTTCTCTGCACCAAAATGATAAAACCAAATTGATATTTTCTCACAGCATCCGCCAAAAAAAAGCGTCAACGAAAAAAAGTAAGAGCGAAAGAACGGGAATCTGTCGACATTTTGCATCTAAATTGGATATGCATAAAAAAAAGTTTTAATTGGCGTGTGATATTATCAGCAATTTGCATAGGACAAATGGATTGACAATGGCGATATGACGATATGCTGCGTGTTTGCTCACCATTAACGCGCCATTTAGAATATTTTATAAGTAAAAGTCGACGCTAAAAATAATCTCTTGCATGAAATATCAATCAGTTTCGGTATTTCATTGAAAATAATTTCAATAAATGCGAGACAAAAACGTTTTTGTTGAATGAAATCGGCGTACCGATTGGTTTTGTGGGAATCTTTTTTTTTTCTCTGAAAACATGCAAATGTTGACAAGTAATTCAAATAATATGCACCCAGTTTTTTTATCTCTAGTGTTGAAGATGAAAAAAAAATCTAGAGCAAAAATAGCGTCGAAACGTCAGAGAAAGGAAGAGAAGAGGAGAACTATGAATTGATATTGGTGTCAATAAGATGATAAAACCATCTCCAACTGAATCTCATATAAATCGTCCGTTTTTTTTTCTCGCACAAGCCTTTTAAATGTCGGCCACATTCAATTCTGCATTAAATCCATCGTAATCATTGTGTGTATTTAGGTTTGCCTTTTCAATGGACCAACTGGAGTCTGCGTATACGCAGCCAGAACAATAGAAAGCGACTTCCGGCAAAACACTGGAACGAGCAAAAAAAACCGTTAGTAAAAAGTAATGCGAACAGCGAGAGGGAGAGAGAATAAACGAATATGGCGCATTAATTTTACCTCAATCGCCCATTTATTTAAACATTCGCAAAAGCGAACGCCGAAATAAATGTGCACAATTTGTTAATTTCTTTCCCAAAAATAAAACCATTTCACCGCCATCCAACGGCATTCTAACTACGGTTAACATTTTCTCCGGACCAAAAATTCAAAGCACAATCACGAAACGAAGAACGAGAGAGAAAGAAAGAGAAAAAGAAGTCGTACGGCGAAAAGTGAATACACAAAAAAATTGAACCAGTCGAAAGTGAAACAAGTGGTTTCAACAGCCGCTATAGTTTTGGTTTTTGTTTTTGTACTCTTTGCTCGTTTTCAAGTAGACACTCGTGTAAGAAAGAATCAGAGAAACACGAAAAAAAACACACACATAAAAACTAACAAGTCTCACGCGCTTGTTTGCTCAAACACATCTTGTTTTTCGTTTCGTCACTTTTCATTGGCTTGCATTTGTGTGTGAGTGAGTTGTTAATTTAATACCTTGCTTTTAGATAGTTCACATGGCACATATTAATCTGTTTTTCTCTCTCGAAGAATTGGTTCGAAGATTTTCTCCGTCTTTTTCTCTCTATCACTCTTGCATCGTGTCTCGATTCCACCGAGTTGGTTTCAATCGATTCATTTGGCCAAAGCGCGCAGAACCATGAATATAAATGAGCTATTCAATTTAAATGATTTGATTGAAATGGCGATAGAACAAACGAAACGGAAAAGGAGAACACAAAAACTATCCAAATCAAATCTCTGCCATCGCATTAGTGAGAGAACTCAAGACTAGACCGACGAAGATGGTGAAAAGAATGCCGTAAAGAATTCTTTCTTTCTTTGACTTGTTTTTATGGATTGCACTTCATTTTTAGAAGGGCAAAGTACCGTTAATCGTTTCTTCTTCGTTACATTTTGATCACTAAAAATCTAACGAGTACTTTGAAGATGTACCACTGTTGTGCTCGGCATTGGCATCGTCATCGTGGCGGCGGTACGTTTGTATGTGTTCGAGTGTGTTTGGTTGCGAGTGCGCACGCGATTTTATACACACAATTCCAAATTGAATCTCCGGTTAAATGCTGTAAGCCGATTCCATTAAAGAATTTAGCTGCTAAGTGGGTCGTGTTCCGAATTTTATGCCTGTGTAGTAAATGCTCCTTTGCATTTCATTTTCATACTTTCTTTTGTTCTTTTCTCGTCGTGTGTATCTTGAGCATCTTATGGAATTTCGTAGGTGATGTGACCTCATTTCTCGATCCATTCTGCTTGTTCTCTCTCTCTCTCTCTCTCTCTCTCTCTCTCTCTCTCTCTCTCTCTCTCTCTCT